AATAAATTATTATATACAATTGTTGTATATAAATCAAAGAAAAAAAATGTGCAAGACGAATGGTCCAAAGAATGTGTATTAAGGATTATTATTAATTAAAATACTGTATAGTTCATTTATTGTCCTATTTTTGTTCAGTAAATTTACAATTGATACATCTTTTGTCAGTAACTGCAGGTAAAAATGTTAACTTGGGTTCTTAAATAGTTTTATTTTTTACAAGTAACTCTACCTTTGTGTCACTCGCCGATTTTATTGAAACTCAGTAGATTTGTAGAATAGTAAAAAATATGGAACACGTATTTTTTTATAACATAAAAGTAATTAATTCATTGAACTTTAGTTCCAAGTATTAGAGCTATATTTTTGAGTTTTAGAGATATGACAAAAGGTTTTCATATTACTGAAAGAAAATTCAATATTGGAATTACAGAAATCAAATTCTTTGCGTATAAAAGATTTTTAATTGGAATAAAGTTAAACATAAGTGAAGTGTGAGAAATATTGTAGTTAAAAAAAAAAAAAAATCTAAAAAAATTATTTCAAGACTGAAAAATTATTTCAGCGCGCAGTTTAAAGGACTACATACGTAGTACATACATAAATTTACACAGAATTATACAAACACTTATCCAGCACTAGATCGTTAAAGATATTTATTTCCTATTGTATTTTCATGTACATTCCTATAGATTTAATATTAAAAAAAATTTATTTAAAAAAAAGAAAAAAATTTTTTAAATAATAAAAGACAAAAACGTAAAAAAAAAACAAAATGGGGAATCCATTCATCTCCTCCTGCATTTATCTCCTCATCGTTAGTTATTCCCTGGTTCATCAAAGAGCGAGATAAGAGACTATTTGAATTTATCAACTTGCCTTATTAGATCCGCCATTTTGATTTCTATAATTTTAATATTGAATTTCCTTTTAGCAACATGAAAATCTTTTGTCATATCTCTAAAACTCAAAAATGGCTCTAAATTCAATAAATTAATTACTGATTTATAAATACAAGGAATCATTTTCTCTTAAAATTGCACCTTTGCCGATATAAAAAAGTGCGTGTCTAATATTTTTGATTACTCTACAAATCTTTTGAGTTTCAATAAAATTGTCAAGTGACACAAAGATAGGGTTATTTGTTAGTTATTAAATAGAATTAATATAATTGTCTAATAACTGCATGAAAGCAGTTATTCGAACTATCAAAAAATTGAAAAAATGCATAAAATTTCTAGCATGGAGAAATTTTTATTTTTTTTTTATAATAACGTATTATTTTTCTCTTATTTTTGGTCTCCTTTAAGAATACGTTTTATTTTGTTGAATCTTATGTTTTGCCATCAATTTTCAAATTGATAAGCAAAATTGTTTTTTATCAATATTAACCATAAAGTCAAGAAAAAACATTGAAGATATGAAATTTTTTTATCCATCTGGATTTTTTTGATCCTTTGTTTTCAAGAAAATCAGATTTAAAAACTAGAAATAAATTAATGAATGCATCGAGTACGACACAAGGTACTAGATATTATCTACAATTAATTATTTTTTCGCTGTTCGAAGAGTTTTGCGACTCAGAATTCGCGAAGCAGCCTAGGAGCCTCGTAAAACCGGATTGCAAATTAACGATCTAGCGAGACCGTAAGTTTCGTCCCGGCATAATACGATGTCACAACACCCAGTCGGTGTTTGTAAGCTTCCGGTGACGGCACTTCAAACATTGCAAGCACCAAGCCAAAAGTCTTTTAGCTTACTCCGCCTGTTCGCTTTCATCTCTCTCTTTCTCTCTCTCTCTCTCTCTCTCTCTCTCTCTCTTTTCTTTCTCCGAAGGAACTTCTTTATTATTCTTTATTCGCCGCAATTATACTCTGATTTGTCCCGCTGCGATTACCCTGATTCATTTACTTCCCTCCGTAGAGTTTCAAACTTTACTACACGAGTAATTATGTTTTAGGAAATATTTTAGGATGACGTGAATTTACTTCGATGCGACATCCTTTATTGAAGATTTACAGTGTTCACGCTGTACAAGTCTTTTCGAGAATCTCATTCCGTAAAATAATCTATTTAATAAATCGAATCTTTCTTAGCGATGTATACTTAAATTTTTTTTGATATTTTTAATCAGTGCGCAATAATAACCTTCATTTCATATTCATATATTATATATTTATGGCTTTTAATTAATTATAGAAAGAGAACGTAGCTTTTATATTTAAATTTGTATTTTTATAATTCTTCGATATTTGTTAATCTGTATATTAATTTTACATCAATATGGCATCTAACAATTAATTATTTATTGTATTATATTAAATCAAAATAATCTTAATTCCCTGAATAATACCGAAATAAAGCCAACAGTTTTATACATAATTGAATGTTATGCAAGGATTATTTCCAGGATATATTAATACATTCGTTGATGTAAGCTATACCTTACTTGCAAAAATATTTATATTAATATATTCTTTCGCATTTATATCTGTATTGACTGTACATAATATGACATCTATACAATAATTATTCACTATACACACAATGTGAAATCAAAATAATATCAATCCTCTGAATAATATTGAAATATATGTAATGCGAACAGTTCGTTAAAAAGAAAAAATAGAAGGATTCATTAATTTAATGACGGTTTCAGGAGCTGCAGCAGGGAAATGGGAATCTGGGCTCTGCAGGACTCAGCAGTATGCAGGACTCTCCTCATTCGCTGAAGATCAAACAGGAGCCATTTCAGCTGTCTCCGCCGTCACCTCTGCCGCCTCTTCATCAAGGTACATTCACATTTCTTCATTATTTCCGTTACGCATAATTCCCAAACTTTACTATATCTAAACATCGTAATGAATCAAGAGAAAAAATCAATTTTATTTATCAGGAAGTCTGTTTTCTATACCCGAACACTTTCGGAACTTAAATGAAATAGATATATGTTTGATATTTAGTGAAAAAGAAAGTTCTAGTGTAATCTAGTAGAAAGAAATAAAAAAAAACCTAAAAATTCTTCCCTTATCGATTATGCGCGTTACAAACAAAATATGATCGATCAGTAAAGATGTTCAACTCTTATCATTTTTCTACTTTTCTAAATTAATTAACTTGAGATCGATTAAATGAGAGAAATAAAATAAATAGCAATCTAATCCAGATAAATTCCCGAATCGACTCGGCAGCCTGGAAACGGAAAGAAGCCGAGCGGGTTGTTGCTAAAGGCTGCGTTCTAATAATACAAAACTGTAGTCGAGAGCATTCGTCGTCGCGAGGGAGGGTCTCTCCGCGAGAGATGACTTTCCCGAGAGAGGAAAGAAGGAGAAGTGAGAGAGAGAATGATATACCGCAGACAGCCTGCAGCGCGCGAGAGGAGAGCTCCGATCTTTCCGCGCGACGTTTAGTCACACATTCTCGCATCTCTGTACGATTACGGTCTCTCCTTCACCGACGAAATTGTCGTCGACGTCGCGCGCCTAATTCCACGGAACATAGAAATATCCCGCAATTTATCTCACAGTGACGAAACGCTTATGATTTAATATTCAGCGACATTGACGATTTACCGGTATTCCGTGCTCCGTTAACAATATTATGTGTCTTCGCCGTATATAATAACTAATGAAAAATACGATTAAGGAAATAAAAATTAATATGAGTAGATCTATAAATTGTCGACTTTCCTAAAAGAATTGAAATATTAATGCTCTAATGAATTAAATAACAAATGAAATCATAATGCCAATATTGGTACGTGTGTGTTTATTGATTAAAAGAATAATTAAAATAAAAAATAAATTTCTTTTTTTTGGATTCTCTTCAGTATCGACTTATTATTAATTATTACATACATCAAAATTGATTATAGATTTATACATTTAATATTATTCTTTTGCAGTAAAGTGAAGTGGATTGCATAGTGTTGTATCATTGTTGAAATATGCATTTTGAAATAAGGAGTTCAAAAATAAAATAATAGATTGTCAAAGTATAAATTCGTAGAAATTTGAGTAATTAGAATTTAACATGATCAAATATATATAGTCGAGTATCAGATTAATTTAAAGTGAACTGGATTAAAATATCGTGATGTTGTACTAAACTTCATGTTACTGTGTTATAAGCAGGATTGGATAAGTTAATGTTTTTTTTTGCAATTTTTGCAATAATTAACAAGGTATCAATTACAATTAAAAATTGCCGAATATTTTTTACTCTTAAATCTTGCGAGAGAGAAGAGTATATATATATATATAT